TGTTTTAAAATAACGCATGTAATACTTAGCAATTGCTCGAATTCGAGCAACAGGTACGTTAGTAATTATTATTTACATTTGTTGTTATGATTTTTGTGTTAATTCTAATTGTGAATAAAAGACAACTACATGAAAACTATTCAACACTGACACAACAGTATATTACCGATGAATTTGGTTAATTAATGGACGAGAAGTTAGGATTGTTGTTGACTGAGATTTGGTTGATTTGCCCATACAAATAACATTGTGTTCACCAGTGACACAATGTAAGTAGGCTGTGAAGTAGGCTAGGTGCTAGGTGGAAGACAATTGTTGCGCTCACGTTCACTCATCCCGTTACGCGCAGAATAAATGTGCTACTAGTACTGTATATAATTGACATTGATAATACCTACTCCAAAGAAGAATCAGATATGTTGTTAAGTTTTATGGAGATGAAAACAACAGACTGAAGTTTGTTTACTCTATATATTGAAAATAAGTCAAATATGGCCAATCCAGAGTAAAACCATAGACAAATAGAATAAATATAGACCGCGTCTGCTGGTAGCATACGGCTCCTGCCCTCCTTGCCTGCAGCAATGTGCGCCGGAACCTTCATTTGGCAGTCTATATTTATTCTATTTGTCTATGGTAAAACACACTAGGTATGAAAAATTTAACAAAGCACTTAAGGAGATAGAAGCATCAATCAGCAAAAACTCTTCAAAGCTTTCAAATGCAAGTAAAAATAAAACTCCTAATAAACACTCCTCAGGTATAAATAAGGTTAAAACCTCTAGCATTATAAACATGAATTCAGCACAGCACAGCCTGCTGAACGTGCCTCTGCACTCGCTGAAGGCAGCGGATCTAGCGCTTGCTGTGTCGTGACTAGACAGCTCTAGGGTAGGGGAGCGGCTGCTCTAATACTGGCCTTCGGCGGAGGTGACAATCACCCATCCGGCCAAGGCCCACATAGCTAATGCAACCACCAACTGTTACAGATATGTGTGCAGCTGTGACAGGACTGAGCTGGAGACGATGAGGGGACCAACTCCGAAAGGGTCCAGTCTCTGACATTAGCAGGCGTAGTGAGTGGGTCACGATTCGGCTGCTAAACTGCTAACCTTTTATTTTTCTTGTTGATAATCATTGCTGAGCGTAAACAAACGGAATCATTACCCCAGGTGGGTACCTGCTCAAGTGGGGATTCCCACTCCTCCTTTTTGGGGGACATGCCCATGGATTCTGGGGAGGGCAACAATCAGCTTACTTTTAACAATGATGATGTTACTGTGCAGAACACCGCAATGGAGACAGAACCTGGGGAGATCGCGTAGACGCCAGAGATACCAAATTGTAAGCCAATCAGGTTTGGAGTACCTCAAGGATCAATTCTAGGGCCTTTGCTTTTTCTTTGCTACCTGAGAGGAGTAAACAGCGCATTAATCTATAAGCTTAATAGTAAGTTGTGTCATTACGCTGATGATTCAAATCTCGTTTTATCAACTGCCTCACAAGAAGAAACTGAAGTGTGTTCTTACATTGAATTGGAAAACCTTGGAAACTATTTGAGAAATCACAATTTACTTTTAAATCCACAAAAAACTAAATTTGTAATGTTCAAGACAGCTCAAAGTAAAATACTACTAGAACCTTTAATAATACATGATAACCATAACATTGAACACGAAAAAAGTATAAATTTTTTGGGTCTGACAGTAGATCAAAATCTGAGTTGGGACGAACATGTGCATAAAATTTTGGGCAAAATTAATTCAGGAATTCACGCATTATCTAAAATGTCTTATTACTGTGATCTGAAAACATTAAAAAATATTTATTTTGCCCATGTTCACTCTCATATATTGTTCTGCATAGCGCTGTATGGTTCAACAAAAAATTTAAATTTGGAAAAAATATTAAAACAGCAAAAACGAGCAATCAGGATCATGCTTAAGTTAGAGTATGATGCACCAGCAAAAGAACATTTCAAAAATCTAAATATTTTAACTGTTTACGGGCAATATATTATTGAAACTACTCTCATTGCAAAGAATTGTACAACTATCAATTTTAAGTCCCCAGCTCATTCGTATAATACTAGAAAGAGAAATGAGGTTATCCTGCCACATAGATTAAAGTTTTTTGAAAAGAAACCAACCTACACAGGATATACTTTTCTTAAATATATTCCAGAAAACATAAGAAGAGAAAATAATTTAAATAAGTTCAGGAAATTGCTGAAAGAATATTTAATACAACTGGCCCCTTACTCCATAGAAGAATTTTCCACCTCCCAGATATAACCTACCGTAGATATAAATATTTTTTATATTACTTTTCATTTTTGTTTGGTTAACTGTAAATAGTAGATTTTAATTAGATTTAGTATTGTATTATATATGACGCTATTTACTGTACAAACTATGTACAAAAAAATGAATAAAGAACTTTGACTATGACTATGACTATGACTATGACTAGATCTTCTCGAAAAGTTCCTTGACAGTAAGAACTCCACCCAAATACAGATGTAGTTGACAATTTAATTCTTCCAAACTTAAAAATGCCTAACAATTCTCAAATATCAACAAATTTGTTGCCTAAGAATAAGTTTAATTCCCGAACTATTACAGAACTAGAGTTAAAAGAGATAATAGATTCCTTTAAACCCAAATGGTCTGCTGATTATGATGAAATTCCCATTAAGATTATTAAAGATGCAAAATCAGTACTTTTATCTCCGTTACTCCATGTTATTAAAGCATCCTTAATATCAGGAGTGTATCCACCAGAACTAAAAATATCTAAAATTGTTCTTTTGTTTAAAAAAGGTGATTGTAAAGATTCTGCAATCTATAGGCCGCTTTCAATCCAGCCCACTCTCTCTAAACTCTTTGAAAAGTGTATGTTATCTCAACTAGTAAAGTATTTGGAAGTAAACAATTTATTAGATCTTGAACAGCATGGGTATAGGAAAAATAGATCTACAGTTTCAGCTCTTACATCATTTATTAAAAATGTGGTTTACTATCAGTGGAAAAAGTTGGTATGGTGTCTTGGCAGAGTCTCACCAAGCAATTGATCAAGTTAATAATGAACTATGTAATCTTAACTTACTATTGAATGAAAATAAAACCACGATAAGATAATCAATTTTAAGAGTAAAGATATTTCTCAATTAAATCATTCACATAGTGCGCAGCTTCAACTTTCTGATAATACTACTTTTTTGGGCCTACAATTAGATCACACTCTTAACTGGACAAAACAATTTTTTATTGTTTAAGGTCATTTAAATAAATATTTATTTTATATATATATGTATAATGTATCACTTTTCTATCTAGTTATTAGGCGATATAATGTATGATGTATTGTTCTGAACACCATTCATGTATACTTTTGTATATCTGTGAAGAAAGTGTCTTTGAATTGAATTGAATCAACTGATGTCCTTGAGCTTTGTCATAGGTTAGACGCGGACCGAAACAAGCAGCTAGACACCAGCAACGCCAGTGATTTACGGGCAGATGCATCGTCCGACTCTGAGACTGTTTCTACAGTTATGACCAGAACTGAATATAGATTGTCTGTTAGAGAAAGAAAAACAGCTGAAGGCACGTGGGTCCCAAACAGACTGTGGAGAAAGAGGAGGTGAGAGTCCATGGGTTACCCTGGGTAAGGTTCCGGCGTATCACCAATGCATAGAATCGGACCCGATGGAAACCTTGGCTCTTCTCAAAATCCTCCCCCAAAGAAAAATAAAAAATTGAACCGATCATCAGATGCATAACTGGGCGAGCTTAATGCTACATGCAGCTATTAAAGCCGCAACGTCATCGGCGGAGACCGACGGGGCCAATGACTCCCAGCAGTAGTCTCGATTGTAGCCACGATGGAGACCCAGCCTGCAGTGAAGACGCAGTAGCTGCGACGTTAGGTGGGTGATCAGAACCCCGACTACAGCGGCAGGCGGAGTTCCTCAGGTACCGTGACGACACTGGGATCTGTGTGCTAAACCAGATTCTCCTAGGACTAGGTGGACCTGTAGACAATTTTCGGGAATGACGACTAACGACAATCGAAGGTCATCACGTGGCTCACACGCGGTGGAAGGGGCAGTGACAGGGTTCCGTGCGATGACCCGGATTCCCACTATACGACACCATCGACAAGTGTCCGTGCAACAAGCAGGGCACACCAACGACTGAGACGACAGGCGACCCTGCAACGAGCGGGATACCCATACGACAACAGTGACAGGGGTCCATACGATGAGCCGGATTCCCAGACGAAAGCACTGACAGGGATCTGTGTCAGAAACCAGATGCCCAGAAGACATTGACGACCAATGGGAAGTGTAACTTGAGCCTCCAGCAGCAGCTGTGGGCGTTACAGCAGACCCCAGCCTGCAACGACGAATGGGGGGGTGTGGAATGAGCCTCAGCCTGCGGCTGTGACGTCCGACCGGCGACCGTGAACCCCAGGCTATGGCGGCAGAAGGAGTTAGCCCATGTTTGATGTGTCATACCCAAGCGCCTGGTTGGATGTCGTGTGCTGAACACGGAAACAATTTCGGCGGTGGCGACTAATGTTCATGGAAGGCCCAGACGTCTCACTGCGGTGGAAGGGGCAGTGACAGGTCCAGGAGGATTGATCCGGACCACGGCAATCTGTGTGAAAAACCAGATGCTCGAGAATGCCGACACTCTAAATCTCAGCCAAGGTGACGGCACGGTTGAGTATGAAAGTAACATCTTGATGCAAACCCTGGAAGGCCAGCCCAAATCTCCGTACTGAGGCCAATCCGGAAACTAAGTGTGCTGAATAGCACGTGGTACTTGAACCTGGCATGTAAACTAGTGTTATATGGTAGGCCTACAGTTTGGAAAAGTATGTCACAATTGTTAACTGAAGGCTATTGTTAGTGTATTCATTTTTTATTGACAAGCTTCATTATACCACCTTAAATAAAGAATATATGAATATGAATATAATATACCACAGACCTGTGCTCGTAGTAGTGGAGTGTCTGCTGGGGTGAGATCTCCTGGATGTAGAGGATAGTGGATAGGGCTTGGACCTTGTCTTGGGTAGAACACAGGCTCCTTGCCTGGTGATCCACCATCACTGAAAACCACCAAATGTCATTACATTGGTTAAGGCAATCACTGATCAATAGTTGAGAATAACAGTACACTTGAGTCCGGCTAATCCAAGCTAATTGGGACCAACTGCTTTTTGGATCAGCTGATTGTTCAGATTAGTGGAAATGATTTAAATACAGTACAACCTCGATTATCAGGGGATGATTGGGGGGAAGGAGATCACGGAATATTGAAAACCACAGATAATGAAATAAAACACCTTTTACAACTGAATTTACATTTGCTTTAGAATTACGAGTTATTTTCCCTAGGAGGGTATATTTTGCTATTTGGCCGCGCACCGATTGTTGAGGTGAGCAAGCGGCGGCAGCGAAGCTAGCGAGCGCCCTTTGACCCGGCTTATCAGTGCCGGGATATCCTAGATTTTCAGGATAGCATAGGACGGACATTCTAGTCGTGGATCCCGTACAGTGAGGAAGAGCGAGTGTGTGTCTTGTGGAGACGACTGGTGTACTGGTGTACGTTGGTGGTGTACGGTACAGTGGGACTGGTGGACAATGAGTGTCGGCGTTCAAGTTGGGTAGTGACCCACTTGTGGTGAGTGGACGACGTTTTATTATATTTTGGTTTAAGAGTTGATAGTTGACAGTAAAAATATTCATCTCTTATTTGATTGCGAGAGTTATAGAGTTGTAACCGTGCTGGTCAAAGCCTGTTGGTAGTTAGTATTTACAGGTGTCAGGAATAATATTAAAGTATATTCCTGACGGTTCTGGGCAGGCGCTAGAGCGCAAATAATATAATTTATTGACTGTGGTAGATATTATTTTGCGTTGTACCAAGAGTTAGTTACATTACTAATAACTCTGAGGCCCGACAAACCCAGGCTGCACGATTTGGCGTGCGTAGTTGGAAGCACGCGGCCAGTAGGCTAGTAGCTAATTTTATTAGCCTAGTAACAGAAGCCCAGCTAAGTAATATAACAATGATATAGTAGCAGTAGTACTAGTAGCAGTAGGGTTGTTATTGATTAATCATTTGATTATTTTAATTTAACCTGAACAGCTTGTTCAGTAATCCAACACGTTATCTTGGTTGCTTGGATAGCAGAGTAGCGGCTATCAGATAACATATTTATCTAGTGTTTGGAACGTATTTAATATTTATTTATCTGCTACTAAGTAGCTCAATAATTTAATAATAGTGCAATTGACATTTAGCTTTGCTTGTTTGGCTTGGTATTTATTGAGACCAGCTACTAGAGGTTTAGTCACTCTGCCTATAGTATACTTGTACTATGGTATTATTATTGGGTGAACTGTTTGATTCTTAGCAGAGTTGTGTATTGGATTATAGTGGCCTGGTAGACCCCGCCTGGTGATAACTCGCGTTGTGGTTTTTATTGGCAAGTCGTCGTGTAACTCACTGTGTTTTAGGCACTCTGGGTTTAACTATTGGATAGTTAGGACGAAGCCCGAGTTGCATAGTCAGCAACGACCCCCCAGGAGTGTGGAGAATCGGCGTAGGCCTGGTAGTGATTATTGCACGTTTGTTTTGGTGACTTGTTTTTGACTTGTTCACAGTGCCCGTGTATGAGCCACAGGGCCGGATTTACCAATAGGCCTGGTAGGCCCAGGCCTATGGGCGCGAGCTCTCCTAGGGCGCATGGCTGAGAGTAAAATTATTTTTTTTATATCTAAAAATAAAAATAAATATCATAAGTTAACATATTTTGCGAGTTATTAAAAAAAAAACACTGGAAAATAATATGCATTCTGATTTTGAAGTTCATTGGAAGAAATAACTGTTCAAAAATTTACTATTTTTCAAAATTACGCATCAATTTCGTTACAACATTGGTTACGGGAGTAGGCTGTAGGGACGTTGTCAAGCGCCCGAGCGGTACGCATCGTATTGCCACTGCCCTGCCACTTAGCTGGCTCAGCGCTACTGATGGAAGTATGGAAGATGGAAGTGGTTAGGGGCGCATGCGTGCTAGACACTGTTACCACCCTCACCTCACAAAACAAAAGTTATTAACTAATCTTTTGGTCAGTTTACAACAACCTGCAGGATTAAGTTAAAATATAATAATACGTTTTGTTGAATATAAAAAAATGAGTTTATCTTTAAAATTCACCAACGGACAAAATATTAATCTGAGTTTGCAATAGGTTTAGACAATATAGGCAGTCCCGACTAGATTAACCAAACCATAACTCAAGTCGACATCCTTGTCAATTATAAATATTGTTTCATGTCTAGTTCATGTTGCTGACACTGGACGTTAGTTTTGGCGTAATTTTGTTTTTATTATTTTAGGGTTGGTTCTATGACGTGTGTTTGAACTTAATTTCTTGTAATATAACCAGGGGACGACCTATTGTTTATGATTAAATCGTTTTATTTTGGACAAACTAGGTTTAAATAACTCAAATAAAAAGAATTGTTTTTAGCTAATCCCTAAGGATGACAAATCTACTAAAGGTGTAGGATATGTTTAATCTATGATCTCGTACTGTATTAAGTTCATGTTTTGGAAACTGAAATTGGAATCAATAGTTTTTTTTTCTTCTTCAGGAATGCTCTGTGCGTTGGATTGTTCTGTTTCACTCCCACAAACGTGAGCATTTGCCAAAAGTGTTTAAGATGGCATTTTGTTAAGGCTAAACAAGTCAATTCTTCAAAAAACTTGCAATGATAAAATTCCGACCGACAAGGGTTGGAATGGTGTTCAAGCAATTAACATAGGCCTATTATATGCATGATATAGTTTTTAATAAAGGTTTGTAGGAAAGTAACTGTGACCAGACTAGGGGGCGGGAAAATTATTTGGGCCTAGAGGCGCCAAAATACTAAATCCGGCACTGATGAGCCAGTCCTATACCGGTTAGACCCGGCTTTTGGCCTAGTGGTTTCCCTGACCTTATCGCAGACCCTGGAACTTTACCCAGCCATTGTAGGCTGAGCTATCCCCGGCAAACTTTTGCGACTGCACTTACTTGTATTATTTTTCCAGTGCGAGAAAGTAGTGTCGCATAGAGATGGGCGTTATATAACGTATTAGTCAAAATAACAGGGTTATCAACAAATAACTGTTATCAAGGTATTAGGTTACTGCCAGAACCCTGTTATCTGAATAACGGTTTCAGTGGATATGCTAACGCCAGCTGCTACGTTGCCGTTGTAACCCTATTATCTTGAGGCCGGCACTGAACGAACCAAATTTTGCCAATAATAGTCTGAGCAGTTATTGCTGCGATAACGCTGTCCCTCTGATAACTTCAACTTCTCGTTTCTTTGACCGTTATCGCCTAGCGGCGTTCTAATGTAATATTTGTTGAAATTTGTATACCATAACTATAGACATGTGCATATGTATATATAACTAAAGTAAGCCTTAGTTAAGGGTAAATGCAAAAATAAGATATTTTAGTGTTTCAACATTTCAACAGCTTCCTGATAACATTAGTTACTAAACAAAAACTATAACCGTGTTATAGACCTACATATGAGGGTGAAATGGAAAATTTGCATTTCATAACGAAATAATTAGAATAACAGTTAAAACACGATAACATGGGGAGAAATAATTTCCGCAGATAACATGTAGAGAAATAGCTGGCTGCTCGGTAATGCCAGGGAATAACGTCAGTTCAATAACGGCGCTAGGATAACAGTTTAGCTCGGCAACGGAGAGTTGTCGTTTCATTCCGGACTGATCGATATAGGTATGGAATCCCCGTATTAGGTTATTGAAATAAATGGTTACGATAACCTGTTATCGCAAAATAACGTATTAGTGATAACCTAATACAGAAATATAACGATAATTTCCATCTCTATCCCGTTGAGGAATGGCATGCACCCTAAGCTGGGTAGGTGGAATGTTTGCATGAGGTCATTGCATTCCCACCAATGACTAACTTAGGAGTAGATTGCACCCTAAGCTAGGGTAAGGTGGAATATTTGGATGAGGTCATTGCATTTCCACTAATGATTAAGAATGGCATCCACCTTAAGCTGGGATCAGGTGTTATGTATGCATGAGTCATTGTGTGAAATAGTTGTAAAAACTTGTTTTGAGTTCTATTTAATAATCTGATCAAAAGCTAGCCAATCTATATAATTTATCTGGCCTAGATATGGTTAAATACACTTAACTTAAAGTCTATACAGGGTGCCAGTATTAGGCCGGCGGATGCCGGAATTAGGGTCATGTCATGGTGGAATTAGGCAAGGGAGGTAAAATAAGGTACCTAAAGTATATTTCTTATATAAAATTTATTTTAAGGAATATTTTGATCAAAAGTGTTTTTTTTTTCTAGAAATGTGTTGGTTTGTATAAAATCAGTCCCATGCTGATAAGTTATTGCCTTCTCCCTTTAAAAACAAACTTATTAAAGAGCCCTGTCAGAATTGGGGCTTTTTACCTTATGACTCTTTCCCATACCTGGTAAGCCTTAACTTACTACCCTCACAAAAAACTGTAGCCTACTTTAATTATTTAAAATAGTTACTAATAATAATCAATATAGGACTAATGGAGTTATGTGAGCAAGCACTTGCTTTGTAGCAGCCTCGAGCAAATTTCAGTTTAACACGTTCACTACTGCAATAGTACGAAATTGTTCATTCACATGGACCAGCGACGCACATATGCGACAGCCGGTTTCCACCCATAGACTGCCGTCGCATATATGCGTCGGCTAGTCATATTAAAATAGACTGCCGTCGCATATTTGCGTCGGGGTTCTAATGTTATTAAAATGCTTATATCTTTGTAACGGTCTATTTGAAGGCACTGAATTCCCTGCAGTGGTCTACAGAGATGTCTGACGCACAACTGCGTCGCTTGGTCTGTGGATATGATGATTGGTGACGTCATATAATAGTTGGAAAAACTGGTCTTTACTTTTCTGCATCACTGTATGTATGTATGCAGTATGTATGCTGCATTATCCTATGTAGCTTTTATATTTGTTCAGTTATAAACTGTTCTTGATAAATCTGTTTTTTATTTTACTTACTTTCACCTCAAAACACAAAAAAAATAACTGTCGCATATATGCGACGTTTGGTCTATTTCAAGAAAACTATGATAATTTTCACTATTATCTTCGCTGTAGACCGGGCGTCGCAAATATGCGACATTACAAAAGGTTATTAATAATACAAAAAAACAAGAATACATTATTTACTAACACAATTGTAGCGTATTACAATGTAAATGATCACTGTTTTACAGGTATTCGCCCGTGGTCTGTGTGTACTGTTATCCAAGTGACAGCCGGTCTGTGTGTAAGATTCAAATGTATACCTCGGTCTGTGGTATTGACCGCGGCGTCGCATATATGCGACGCTCAGTAGCGAACGTGTTAAAAAATTAAATGTATAATGAAAAAGGTCTTAAACTTAATATTAAAATTTAAATTTAGACATAGCCTATATACTTACTTTTGACTGAGGCATTGATAATCTTTGAAAGGGGGTTGCCAACGGGTTTGGTGATTAGGTCTACCAGGATGTTGATTACCATGGTTGTGGCGAGAATAAGGTGTTGAATTTCTTAAATTTCCTCCACGGTTGTTGGCATTCATGATTATCACCTATAAAAAATTAGGTTAATATAAAAACTATTTAAACCAATTGGGCTTAAAAGCCTAGGTATAAACCATTATTATTCCATTTTTAATAAATATTGGTATTTATTGCGACCAACCTGACCATGGGAACCTATATAGATTTATATATCACCAGAAACTAGATTTTTAGCTAAATATAACGGTGCAAAAATTTTCCGCGCTCACAAATATTAACTGAGTTACGGCTGTTTAAAATTTTATTTACTTTGTGTTTAATATGGGCTATTTATTAATAAAAACCCAAGTAGAGGAAACAACATCTTTATTCGTTAAGCCATATAAGGTAATTTAAGATAGTTTGTCGTTTTAATTTCCTTTATCTCTCTACCTTCTATTCTAGTCTGCTATACTGCTTGCCGTTGCCGCATTACGAAATAAATAACTTTAACTACCGGTACTGTAACTGTACTGACTGAAATGAAAATAGAAAAGAAGAGAAGAGAATAAAAATAAGTCAATCAAAGACATTCAAAGTACATGTGTTACAAACATCTAAAACACAACACAGCACTGAATATTTCAGAATCATTTTATTTAGGCATGTGCGGAAGGCAAGCCTGGCTTTATGCGGATTTGTGACTGCAAGTGTTTTGAAGTTAGGTTAGATTAGGAAGGTAAAGTGTGTAGGTTATATACTAAACTGGGTTGATAATTTATATTACACACAGGCAGTTGTTGTGCTATTAAACTAGTGTGTAACTTATAAACAACGAAATAACAATTTCAAAAATGCAAGCAAACATTTTTGAAATTGTTATTTTGTTGTTTAGGCCTATAACACCTTTAACTTACCTAATCTAACCTATCTTCAAAGGACTTAATGCAGTCACAAATCCACATAAAGTCTGACTTGTCTTCCACACATGCCTTTTCTGACAGCATACCGGTACTTATTTTTTATGTTACAGCAAGTTTGGTTAGGTTAGGTTGGTGTAGAATAGATTAATTTTATAACTGATATGTATTCATAGACTAATAAACGTGTTATCTAGCTATGGTATATCTTAGTTTTAGCGTAGGCTATCATAAAGGTGTTATAGAATTTATTACAACTGTTATAAATATTATATTGTCGTAAGGGTACTACAATCTCAAAGGCATTATACTGGTATAGGCCTAATGCCTTTGAGATTGTAGTACCCTTACGACAATATAATATTTAACATAATGTTACGACACTAGCGCTCAAGTGTCACTAACATGAACTAGACATGGAAAAACTTCAGATTTTAGAATGGGATGAGAAGTCTGGCTACTTGTATTGGTTAGCGTAATATGTTTATAGGCTTTAGAAGTGCCTACTAATAATCTATATAATATTAAAACGAAACAGTGTTTTTTTATTTCACGATTCTGAATCAACCACTCGACGGATTTTCATGATTTTTGTGTTGAAAGAAAGATAATTTTGAGAACTAGGGAATGTCGAAGCCATAATTTTAGTTAAGGGTCCCAGTTTTTTTAGAAATTAAGTTTAAATTTTTAAAAAGTCTAACAGCCGACGCTAAGATTCTAAACTAGCTTTTGGCATAAAATAATTTGCTTAACATAACAGCTGTAAACATTTAGCTTTTGTGTCACAAATTCAGCATTTGGATAAAAATTTAAAGACATACTTAGGGTTGACTTATTTATACTATGGGTAATGCTAATCATTGATACGTTCAATTCTTCTGCAAAAGGATGACAGATTAATTAAATATACATAATAAAATACTAGGATGTTCAAATTATTTTTTAAAGCAATCTTTGTAATCTTCGATTTGTTTTAGAGCATAGGCCTATAATTTGTTTTAACTAACAGCTGGTTAAATATAAACTATGGAACTATGAGGTTATTTTATTTACTCTTATTTTGTCATTGATTATAGGAAACTAGGTGAAACCCGTCGAAATCGACGGTTACTTTCAAGGCTTACGTTGATTCATCTAACTGCGATAAATTGGGTGGAATATACATATTTTGAACATTTAGCAATAAGTGTAAAAACAATAATGACATTAATTGCGTTAGTTGCCAAATTTGGTTGATCATTCAATGAATAAAATATTCCCCATACCGTACGTCATCGGAGTTATTATTAGTATGTTATATGGTATATCTTCCTTTGGAAGAACGTTTTAATAGTATTAATATCGTATTGATGGATCTTTTGTAGCTAAACACTTTCGTGATTTCATCAGTGTAATATGATTTTATTTCAAAAGAAAACTTTTTTTGGGAAGACATATTCTAACTTCAAAGGGAGGTGCCTATATCCGTTACAGCGTAAGTTTGATTTTTCCTTCGTCACGTCGCGTCAGTTCATATCGTACCTGTGCCAATGAATGAACCCTCTAGCATAGTTTTGAGAAATTAAATTATTGATTGTGGGGTTACTGTTAAAGCTGGAATTCCTTGACATGGGGGATGTCAGTTAGTTGTCTCAGCCTTATAAATAACATAAAGTTGTCAATATAATCTCTCTACGGAATGTTTGATTTAGTGGAATACTTGAAGTGAAGTTGGCTTTTATTCTTGTACTGTTAGGGGCCTCCTCGTTTATATGGTCGTGCGGCTTCATAGGCAACAAATAATGCAAATGACATAGCAATGGAACATTTCCAAAAAGCAAAAATACTGTAAATTGGCTGTTCCGTATATATTGACGTTTACATATGGTTAATCAAAATGAAATGAAATGAAATGAAAAATCATTTATTTATACAGGCAAAGTTAGGGCCACATGGCCCTTTCTTACACTTAACCTGTACTTTAAAACATAATATAAATATTTTAACATAATAAGCTTATACAATAAAACAAAACAGAAATCATAGATACAGAAACTTTTATCAAAAATCAGTAAATTTTAAAAATACTTACACACACACACACTCACTCACACATACGTACAAGTCAGCGACCGCCATGCGCACAGGCCCCTACGACTAACCTACTATGGCCATACGTTCAAAATAGAGATTTTTTAGTGCTGCCACAAACCGGGAACGACTATCGAGGGATTTAATAGCTAAGGGGAGATCGTTCCAAAGACGGCAAGCAGTTACAATAAACGCTCTGTCGTAAACTGCAGTCCTATGGTGAGGCATACGCAAAGTTAATGATGCATGGCGTGAGTATCTGACACTTTCTTCAGCTACAAACCTAAAATCATCTACAAAATATTTTGGAAAATTGTTTTTTAATATTGAATAGGTTAGCGAAAGAATTTTGATTGATCTCAGGTCACATAGCTTTAATAACTTAGAATGAATGTAGAAAGGTGTGATGCGCTCACTGCGTCTTAGATCATAAATGAATCTTAGGCAGTGTAGTTCTGAGCGCGTTGGAGAGCATCAGCGAGGTTTACAGTCATGTCATTGATCACAGAGCTGCAGTAAGTGAAGTGGGGAAAAAAGTGATTTAACCAGGTGTAACTTTATGTGCAAAGGCAAGAAATTCTGTAGCTTTTTAAGTGAATGGATTGATGCAAACACCTTTTTACCTACGTGCTCCATTAACATTAATCAACGTATCTTATAAAGAATTATGTGATCTAGTTTAAAAGGAATATGACCTTTCTGTTATGACAGTAGCTGCTTAAAACGTATTTTCTCTCTGTACCATCTTTTACAATAATGGTAATGGTAATTTTTTGCTGTAAATTTTTGCTTTATAGCAACTTAGCAGACGCATAGGCACAGCCTATGTCTGCTAATTCCAGAACTAATTAGATAGGAACAACCTTTTACGCATGTATATAGTTAATTAGTTATAGTTAGTTAGTTTAGTTTTGCATAAAGAACTTTTTTCTTTTGTACATTTGGTTGTGTAATTTTTATATATGTGGTGGAATAAATTCATAATTCATTCATTCATTCATTACAGCCAAAATGTCGTGTTATTTTCAATAACGTTACCAAACCGTGCCAAAGTCCGTAATATAGGCAGGTGCAAATAATTTGTCAAGATGGGTACCATTTTAGACAAAGTTTCTATGTTTGGATTTTATTAGACACGATAAGAGCAGATATTTCTTCATAAATATTTGATATGTGTAGAATAATATGATAAAATGTAGGCAAAAGTGGTGAAAAAGGCAGACACCAACCCGTACAATAGATATAAGATAATTCAATAAGAAATAATTTAAGAATTGCTGTGATAAAAGGATTTTCCACTGCTTACGTAACGGAACGTTATATTGCAAAACATGACATGATAAAGAAGAAAATCAATTTTACAATCAGAAAATAACATTGCAAATACTTATTTGGTAGAATTCAGTAACTCCCAATAAATGTGTGTTGTTTGAAATACAATTTAAAAATGAACAGATGTTTCATTAAAAAGTATTATTCACATGGCCAAAATGTAAACAACTCTGTAAAGGGATCTTTAAAGGCTTCTGGGGCAGAGTCCTAAGGGATTTTGATTAGTTTTTCTTTTGATAACTCATCTACAGACCAAGACCTTTCTTTGGACACCTCTACCAAGTTTCTACGCCCAGCCGTTCTCTCAAATAAGTGGGGACAATTAAATATTTGGATTCCCCCATGTTAATCTTATGGGAGAAACTCCAACTTTGATGGCCTGTGGGGCAAAGCCCGAGGATTTTTATTACATGAATTGGTGAAAGGGGGCGTCTACACAAAAAATACCTTATTTTGACACGTCGTTTGTAAAAATCGGTCCATTATTAACGGAGGAGTAGTGTTTTGTAGAAATCGCCTTCACGTATTATATATAAGGATAAGTAAGATTAGTAGAGATAATTAGACCACAGTTTAAAATAGTTGAGACCAAAATTAATTAAACCACAGTACAAATCGAGGCTCTGTACACGAGTCTTAATAAAAAAGGATAAATGCAAATTATTTTTCGTTCCACTTTTCAAGGAAAGATTAGAAAAATAACAATGTTTACATATTTTAATTCTTCATGGTAGCTTTTTGTTTACAATTAATGTTTGTCTGCTTTAACTTTGTTTGGATTAGGCCCGGAAATATTAATGTCATAAAAAGAAGATCAAGAACAATCAGGAATCACGATTTTAAATTACCACCACAACCTCAGCCGGGTTTTATACAAAGATAAATGTTGACACATATTGAACACAACGCCAACAATGACCTAGGATACTGCAATTAGACAAACCATCCTTTTATGAAATCGTGTTAAATTGCGGTTACGTTTGGGGGTGCCTATATCAGCACCCCTAAACATGAAAATATCACTTTTATTTCAACTATGAATATATTGTATATGTTAGGACACCAAAGTTAAATTATGTGTACTGTGAATTTTATTGGATATTATCGTTTTATTTTGGGTCGTTTCTATTCAGACCTACTGGAAATTGTGTTTAGTTGTTGTAATTGTGGTGATAATAATTATGGAAGAGGCAGGTATGCTATGGAAGGTGGTATCGTTGACTAGGTCTATACACTTCTCAATTGACTATTACTCTCTCTACTGTAGGCTACTTATAATCAGTGTGCGTCTGTGCGAATCGGCTGCAAATCTCACTTTAATGCTTTTCACATCGTAAAAATTGCCCTTATTTTAAAAGGTGAGATGTTCCAAAATTATCCTCATTGTTTACTTTTGAATTTGTATACAAGTTGTTTATAAACCATGTGTTATGTATCCAAACACCTAGGCCTACTATTAGCTAAATTAATACCTCTAAATTATCACATGTGTTTACATACTGTTACATACATACATACATACTGTATGTAAACACATGTGATAATTACACATCCTACAAAGGATAGCCTATAATAGTGCATTAAAAGCTACTTGGTTAAAGTAACCATGTAGGCCTATGCCTATGTTGTGCCAGTGGATTGGGTTTTTGATTACTGGAACTAGCAACTAACTTAGATTTTGTCAAAATCCATCATGCTGCCCCGCCACTAACTAACCACTTTCGTTCACTCACTTTTAGTTAGCTGCGTACAGCTTAGCTACCTTGTTTTCTGACCGATCATTTTGCTGAAATTAATAAGTTTGCTTTAATTATCTATTAATTGTTAGTGTGAGTCTAATATATAGGTTTACTTAGAATCACTTAAATAATTAACATTAATTTAATAGTTGTATCAAGTTTCTGGTGAGGAAATATCGTCAATTAAAATAGACTAGTCAGTTAATTTAAAAAGGTAAATTTATAAAACTTAAAACAGCCATAACTCCGTTAATATTTGAGGGCACGAAAATATTTTTGCACCGTTATTTTCAGCAAAAAATCTAGTTTCTGCTGATATATAAATCTATGGTGTAGCCTAGGTTCCCATGGTCACGTTTGTCACAATAATTACCTACATATTTAAGTGTTAAAGTTCTAAGGAATAAAAAGCTTTATTAATGTTATTATTTTTAGTTAAGTTAGGCTTACGTAAACTATAACTTATCATGGTAAAATTTGAATAATGACAATGTTAATATCGAACCAGATAAATATTTGGTATTTATTGCGACGAACGTGACCATGGGAACCTATAGATTTATATATCACTAGAAACTAGATTTTTTGCTGAAAATAACGGTGCAAAAATTTTTCCGCGCTCACAAATATTAATGGAGTTACGGCTGTTTTAAGTTTTATATTTAGCCTACTTTGTTTTATTGACCTGACCTATTTGTAAGCCTACGAAATTTTCGCTCCAGGTACTTGATATATTACGTTAATTATAAGTAATTAAAGTAAGACTCACTTTTTACCTGGAAATAACAGTGCAAAAATGTCTCCGAGGCCACGAATATTAACTAAGGTAACTTAGGATAATTTGTTGTTTTGATTTCCTTTATCCACCTTCTATTCTAGTCTGCTACTGCTTACCGCATTACGGAATTACGGACTAACTGTTACTTATAGAACTGTACTGTACCTGATATGAAAATACGAAATTTAAGAGAAGAGAATAAAAATAAGTCCTTCAAAGACATTCAAAGTACCTACATGTGCTACAAACATCTAAGAAACAACACGGCACTGAATAACTTATTTCAGAATTATTTTATTTAGACATGTGCGGAAGGCAAGTCGGGTTTATGCGGATTCGTGGCTGTATTAAGTGTTTTGACGTTATGTAAGATTAGGTAGGTACAGTGTAGGTTATATAGTGAACCGAGTTGATAATTTATATTACACACAGTCAGTTGTTGTGCCATTAAAATAGTGTGTTAAACATAACGAAATAACGATTCCAAAAATGCTGCAAACACAAGTTATCACAACGTACAAGACGTTGTGGTAAGCGTTTGTGTAACAATGAACTTGTAGGCTAATTGACCAGTTTGGAGATTTCATATTTAGGTGCGGGTAATGGTATGAGCCACGAGCAAGGGCAAAAAAGGTTAAGTGTCGATTCACCGCCAGTGGGGAAAAAGGCAAGTTTTTTGAAAATTCAATACTTTCTTTAACAGACATATTTTACTCTGTAGCTCGTGCTTTGCAAACCCCTGCCGCCGCAAGACTTTATTCAACAAAACTATGGCTTAGAAGCTTCAAACACAGTAGTAGACTGGTATTCTTTTTGTAGGGAGGTTTTCGATGAACCACGTCGCGAACCGAGACATTCGAATTGGTGGTGTTGGACATATAGTGGAGATTGACGAGGCTAAGTACGGAAGGAGATAATATAATAGAGGGCGTTTTGTAGAGGGACAGTGGGTGTTTGGTGGAATTGATCGTGAAACGAAAGAAACATTTTTGGTACCAGTTGAAAGCAGGGAGAGGGACACCCTGTTGGCTGTAATAAAACAACACATATTACCGGTGACAAAGATCATTAGTGACTGTTGGCGTTCTTATAATTGCTTGCAACACGAAGGCTATATTCACGAAACAGTAAACCATTCAATTGAGTTTGTCAACAGTCACAATCAAGCCCACACCAACACTATTGAGAGAACGTGGAGGAGTGTGAAGGACAGAATTCCAAGGTACGGAAGGCGGAGAGTGCATTTTGTGGGGTGTTTAGCAGAGTATTTGTTTAAGGCTACATACCCAAATTTAAACGTTAGAATCCACCACTTCTGGATCGCCGCAGCAAAGCTGTATCCACCTCAACAATAAGGTAACTAATAATTATTGTACATATTTTTTAACCTGCGTAAAATTAGCCTAGCTTTATTCATTTGTCATTTTTATGGATCAGCTGGCTGAAGGCAACTTTAATATTTTAGTACGTTCGGGGCTGTTAACTTAGGGGCATGTTTTTACTATATTTTTGTTTCTTTTTATTTAAGTCAATAACACAATCCCTCATCCCCTGGTTATATAACCATATTTAGCCTAACAAAGTTTTATTAAACTAGCGCTCAAGTGTCACCAACATGAACTAAGTTAGACATGGAAAAAACTTCAGATTTTAGAACGGAATGAGAGGTCTACCTTTGTTGGTTAGTGTAAGTATGTTTAATAACTTAGTAGGTAGTTATTAGGCTTAAGAAGTAACTTATGCTTACGTAAAAATCCTTATTGTTCTATGAGGATTTAAAAGTGACACATAAAAGCTAGGTAAATGGTTAAAGTAACAATGTTGCCCTATTTTGTGGAGTGAATTGGATTAACTTACTGGAACTGGATTTTGTCAAATTTATCATGCCGCCAGCTGCGTTCAGCTTAAGTTTAACTTAAGTTAGCTATCTTGTTTCCCGAACGATCATTGTGCTGAAATTAATAAGTTTGCGTTAATTAACCTAACTTATTAATTGTTAGTGTGAGTCTAATATTTACTTAAAATCACTTACAATTTACATAAATTTGACAGTTATATCCCGTTTCTGGTGAGGAAATAAGGGGTGCACTTCCATATCTGTTGGCACAAACAACCGAATGAGTAATTATTGATTATTCGATTGGGGTACAGTTTCTTAACTGGGCTATGCTAATATCGATTGAAACTATCGATTCGATTAGTAAACCTTCATGCGATTTTTTCACCATCAGCAAGTTTGGTTGGTTAGGTTAGGTTATGATAGTTAAATTTTATAATAGATATATTGAAAAATATTAATTATTAATTAATATTTTCAATTCGATAGTTCCAATCGATATTAGCATAGCCCAGTTAAGAAACTGTACCCTTCGATTGTTTAATTTGATATATCGTTTGGTTAGTTAGGTTAGGTTAACCTTACTGTCCGCTAAAGTCCCTTGAGGCAGAGCTATACGCAGCTATGTTCGGAGGGTATCGCGCACTATTGGCAGGCGCTAAGCATCTGAGCGTCTCGCCCATCCGCCTCAATGTCTGTCTGTAAACAACTGTTGTAAACATAATTACTCATATCTTTGTTTTGGTAAGTTAATTATCATCATGTGGTCACGTCATCATTTGATTCAGTGTAGTCTCGTGTGTTTGCGTCGTGAGTTCTGTTTTGTTTTGGACGGTCCTTGTAGCTATTGATTTAAGAAAACGTGGTGCTACTATACATAGTGGAGAGAGGGATTTAATTAGACGGGTGATCGAGTGTTGTGACAACGAATGTAAAGACAAAAAGTTATTAGTGCCGATAGAAAAGGTAACATAACGTGCCGCAAGCTATTTAAACGAATTAGAAAAGCCGGCAAACAAACTCCGGATGTAAAACTCTGTACACTGGGGAAAAAACGCAAGAAGTCTGACCACCATAAATAACAAATAGCTTTGATAGGCGTGTAATCGTAGATGTAATACGCGATTTTTACACGAACAAAAAAATTGTCCCTACATGTTAAAGACTACCTATTACCTGTTTTGAGAGAAAGAATAAATTTTAAATGGAGCGAATGGGCACTTCAGCGTCTCTTAAAAGATATGTGGTTCAAGTGTAAGAAATAAGAAATGTAGTTCCAAAAGAAAATGTTTGTTTGAAATGCCTGACATTTTTAATTGGACGTTAAAGTATTTGCGAGAGATAATAAAGCTAGGGGAACAAAAAAGGGAAATTTTCTATCTGGACTCTTTAATTAATTACTTATTTTATTTAATATTTTACATTTTGAAAGAACTAATCACGAATAAAACTTAATGTTTTTAAATAATGTGTATACAATACTTAAATATATTTTAAAATTCGTGGTAAGCTCTTGACAAAGATCACTGTAAAAATTAAATGGTTTTACATTTAAACTCTTACAATATCAGCATTTGTAAGTAAAATACTATATTGAAAATTGTTTTCTTGATTGTTTGCTTAGGTTTATGGTAATAGGATTAAGAACTTTAATAATAAGTTGTTTATTTATGAATGCTATTAAAACTGCTGTACTCTTGTAGGTATTTATATTATGTACCGGTAGTAGCCTATTATGATACTTAGGACAGCCTAACAACTAACAGAGCAGAGTGAAGACGGCTCTAATTGTCACGCAAAATGTTGAAGCGTAACGCCTTCAAACTACGAATAGGCCGGAGCTCAGGGGACTTCTTTACTCTCGCGGACAGTACCTAACTAACCAAACGATATATCGAATAATCAATATATCGATCAATATTTTCATTCGGTTGTTTGTGCCAACAGATATGGAAGTGTACCCGAAATAAGTTAGCTTATCGTCAATTAAAATAGACATGTCAATAGACTTACAAAGGTAAATAAAACTTAAGGCAGCCATGACTCCGTTAATATTTGTGAGTGCAGAAAAATTTTTGCACCGTTATTTTCAGCTAAAAATCTAGTTTCTGGTGATATATAAATCTATATATAGGTTCCCATGGTCACGTTCGTCGCAATGGTACCTTGTAGGTTCTCTGCGGAAGTGTAACTTACCCACATACAACCCAAAATTTAGGTAGGCTGGAAATTCCAACAAATTACAGCCTAGGCTAGGATAAAAAGTCTGATAGACCTAAACTTAAGTTAGGCTGAAAAGAGAGTGCCAAGTATTAAAATAGTGATGTGCGATACGTATCGTATAGTATCGGAATATCGCGATACGCGAGGGACGATACGATATTTAAGAAAACTATACGTATCGTATCGCCTAAAACGATATTTGTATTTATATCGGCACATAGAGCGATACGATTCATGTCAAAACGATATTTTTAAGCTTTTTTTGCGCAGGCCGAGCAAACTGCAAAATCTGTACTCTGTGGATGTGTAGTTTGAAATAGGAGTTTGTGACGTCTATATTTTTGGTTTTTACTTGATAATGTACCAGTCCCATCCCAGTCCAGTCTCCTCCAGTCCATTTTCACTAGCGTTCTATCTAGCGTCTATATTTTTGGTTTTTACTTGATGATAATGTACCAGTCCCATCCCAGTCCAGTCCATTTCCACTAGCGTTATCATAGACTAACCGTTTTATCTATGGTTCTATCTAGCCTAACACTAGCAGTGCAGTGCAGAGTGTGGGAACTGTCAACTGTCTGTGGCAATTACATTACATTACCTAAAATGCTATGGGAAGGAAAGGGAAACAGGTCCAAGACGTAGGGAGTTGTGAAGGAAGTAGTAAAGGCGAGCAGTGTGGGAATGGATTAATGTATCTGCAATATTTACTTAGACTGTTTTCAGAGTAAACTAATGATTTTCTTCTAGCAAAGCTCGGTCCCCAGGTACTTAAATAAATTTGCCGTTTCTAGGTTAGGTAGGGGAGGGGGGAAACGATACAATAGCCTACGTATCGTTTTTCGATATTTTTGACAATAACTTACCTACGATTCGCGTATCGCGATACAGACGCCCGATTCAATACGGCGATACGATATTTTTTTCCGATACGTATCGTATCGCTGTATCGCGATACGCGTCCGTATCGCCCATCACTACCTATATTAAACGTCATAGGCCTATTAACTTAGGCCCAATAGGCTATTCCTTAATAAATTTTGTATACAATAAACTTGCTGCCTAAATTATTTTATTGGATTTCACACAATGAAACCTTTAGACATTTAAGTTAATATTCCAAGGTTGAAATTAGTGTAGGCTATACCCTTATTGTGTCTCAGCCTAAGCCACTTAAAAACCTTGATAAGATTTATAAATAGGCCTACATAACTAAGTTATGTTATGGCTAACTTAGGCCTACCTTAGTAAATGCAATTATGTGAAAATGTAATTGCCGTTCAGGGTAAGCCCTGTTGAGTGTTGACTTTTTATAGACCAACTTGATAAAATCTTCGTACGGACACTTATCTAGGCCTAGGCCCTACCACCTATCATTTTTCTTGAACAGAACATTAGAACAACAAGATTTTAGATTTTTCAACACACGCCTAAAACACAAGCCTGACTGGGTCTGGTCTGCTTCTGAGCGGTCTGAGACTGTCCCAGAGCCAGAGGCCAGACCAGAACAGAGTCAGAATCAGAACCGCCACCGCCACCTTTCACTTCAACAAACCAACACCAAGACCAAACCGAACTCGAAGCAAACAAGAACAAGAACGGCACAAAACCAAACCAATCCAAATCGAAGGAGAAGGGAGACTTAAGGAAGGAGGGCATGAGTATAGCTCCGATAGATCTCTAAAATAGTTGTATTATATCTAGTGATGTGACGAGTTGAGTTGGCGAGTCGAGTTGACTCGAGTCAAGACCCGAGTCGAGTCAAGACCCGAGTCGAGTCAACTCGAGTCAACTCAATTCCAACTCGAGTTCTTTTACGAACTCGTACGGAGATTGCCGAATCTACACGAACTCGTAACGTTACGAGTCCGACTCGCAAAAGCCGAGTCAAGAAACCGAACTCATACGGAGAAAGCCGAACCTTAACGAACTCGGGACGTAACGAGTTGACTCGAGTTTACTCGCACTCGCTTTCGGCCAATAGCGTCACAGCTTTACGAGTCAACTCGCATAGATTCAACGCTATTTCCCGGTACCGAGTCGGCCGACTCGCAAAACTAACGAACTCGTACGGAGAATGCCGAACTCACACGAACTCGGAACGTCTCAAGTCGAGTCGAGTTGACTCGTAAAGCTGACACGCTATTGGCCGGTACCGAGTCGGCCGACTCGCAAAACTAACGAACTCGTACGGAGAATGCCGAACTCACACGAACTCGGAACGTCTCGAGTTGAGTCTGACTCGACTCGTAACTCGAGTTCACGGCAGTTGGCGAGTCGAGTCACTCGAGTCAGGAAAGTACCCGACTCGTCACATCACTAATTATATCATCACGGCCGCCTTTAACTCCAGGCCGCGGCCTTCGAACTGGCAACGTCGCAAGTGGTGTTGTAACAGCTGTTTTTGTTTGGAAGCAACTAATGGTATTTGTGTATTTACGAAAGATTGGTTACTGGACTATGACAATATTGACTCCGCTTAAAAATGTACAGATATAGATTTTAATTCATATTGTTTCAGTTTTCAATTCTGTATGTTTTATTTTCAATATTTTAATAAACTTATGTTCATAAATTAAAAATTAAATCAATAAAGTGTGAATTAATGAGCTGATGTCACCTGTCTGCCATGTTATCTTATGGGACGTCTGTCACCGAACAACACCACTTGCGATGTTGCCAATTCTACCAGGCCGCGGCCTGTAGTTAAAGGCGGCCGTGATTATATACTAGGTGGCGTTCGCAGATGCATCCACAAAATTTAGCGAAGTCATCAAGGGTTCATATTATATTGTTTTTGTCATACTGCAGTAAAAACAGTCGTCATTGGTGCATGTGTTAGTTGCGGGTCTAAAGCTATTTTTATTCTGTGTTCGCTGGTCTAAAGTGGCATTTTTACTCTTTAGGGGATAAAATTCGTTTTTAGCCTCTATGGAGTAAAACTCAGCTGTTGTCAACTGAGTTGTAAATTTCTATTGTAAACTATTGAATACGTATCAAAATATGTAACGATTCGTGCTTCAAAATCATTTTAACCTACAGTCTACAGTCTCTTCCCATAGCATTTCAGCATTGCAGATACATTAATCCATTCCCACACTCAACACTGCCCACCTTTACTACTTCCTTCACCACCCCCTACGTCGTGGAGCTGTTTCCCTCTCTTCCCATAGCATTTTTGGATTGCAGATACATTAATTTAATTGCCAAAGACAGTTCCTACACTCTGCACTGCAAGCCTTACTACTTCCTTCACCATTTCCTACGTCATAGACCTGTTTCCTTCCCTTCTCATAGCATTTAAGTATTAGATACATTTTTCTAACTGCCCAAACGGTTCCCTCACTCTGTACTGCCAGCCTTTACTACTGTACTTCCTTCACCACTTCCTACGTCGTGGGGCTTGATTCCTTCCCTTCTCATAGCATTTTAGGATTGAAGATACATTAATCTAACTGCCACAGACGGTTCTCACAATATGTTCATACTTTACTACTTCCTAAGCCACTTCCTACATCGTGGAATTGTTTTCATCACTTTCCATAGCCTTTTAGTAATTGCCACAAACATTGCCACACTCCGCACTGCTAGCCTTTACTACTTCTTTCACCATTTTATATGTCGTTGACATGCTTCCATCCCTTCTCATAGCATTTCAGCATTGCAGATACATTAATCTAACTGCTACAAACGGTTTCCAGTTCCCAAACTCCACACTGCTCACCTTACTGTACCTACTTCCTTCACCTCTTCTTACGTCGCAGACCTGTTTCCTTCTCTTCCCATTGAATTTTAAGATTGTAGATACCAAGATACCTTAATCTAATCGTCATAAACAGTTCCCACACTCCGAAAAACTCGCCTTTACTACTTCCTTCATCTCTTCCTGCGTGACGGACATGTTTACCTCCCTTCCCTTAGCATTATTGGGATGCAAATACCTTTATCTATTGGTCATAAACAGATCCCACAATCCGGACAGCTCGCCTTGACTACTTCCTTCACCACTTCGTACATCGCGGACCTGTTTTCCTCATGTCCCATAGCATTTTATGATTGTAGATACCTTAATCTAATAGTCATAAACCGTTTCCACACTCCGGACATCTCGCCTTGACTATTTTTCACCACTTCCTACGTCGCAAACCTGTTTTCCTCCATTCCCATAGAATTTTAGGAATGCAAATATCTAAATTTAATCAAAATTCATTTCCATTCTAGCTCCTGAGCTGTTGTATTCAATATAATATATAGGTTACATACCTTATAAATCCGACAAACAGCTCATTTTAATTGAAGGTTGTTTACATGTTTCGGCTTGTATCGGCCATTGTCAAAACATCGCAGTTGGATGGTGAAATCCTTGTCATTGTATTCTACTAAAAGTACATACACAAACACATGACCCGCCTAAGTGTCTTAAATTTAAAATCAAGTGTAACGTGCTGTGAAAGGAGGCAAGAAGGGCATGCTGAAATAAGAAGTCTTATTATTCCAGTAAAAATCCAATATAATGAAGCAAAATCTTAAAACTAACAAATGTTCAGTATGTTAAACCTTAGAAAATAAACAAAAACTATCTACTTCACATAAACTAAAATAAACTTTACAACCATTACTAACCCCCCTCCCCTTTTTATTTTACCCTCCCCTTTCTTTGATCGATCAAACCTTACATAAAAATTCCCCTAAAACTTCTTGTCCTCTCCAAAGTCCATACTTTTCTACTTTACAACTCATATATATAGGCCTAATCATAAAATTTGAAAATATTGATGTGTAACATGGTGAAGGGTACTCATCACTTCACGAACGCTGTCTTCAATCTTTGGTGGAGCTTCAGTGAGATGATCTAAGCCGGAGACAGTCTACTGGTGGGAAGACTTCCATGGTTTGCAAACAGATTGTCCACAGACGGTTGTCAGGCCTCCGAGAAGGTGATACTGGTCCCGACTCCTCCAGACAACAGATAGGCGATGGTGTACTCTCCGACGATGTTCAACTCTGGGACTTGAACCCTAGATGTCAGCATATTGTCCGAGTGTTGTGCAGTTGAACTTGGCCCAGACACGCTGAGCGTGCGCATAATCATCATCTGTCACATTATTTCCAAAAACCTGTTTTGGCGGTAGGACCTCGTCGTTCAGTACATCCTAGATTTGTAAATAGTTCTTGAGTATATGAATCCAGCTTTTGTTTGATTTTGACTTAGCCAATACAAATTGTATATTGTTAATTCTGGCTGAATAAATGATTTGATTTGATTTGATTTGACTATTTCTGACAAATCAAAGCACAACGCATTTTGCATTTATTAAGGATTTTGAGCGGTTGGTAACTAATCAGTTGACTCGTCGTGAGCATAGGATTTTTATATGTAAACGCTGCTTTGCATATTTTGACAACCAACCGACTAAATTAGGGCTCAGAGGGGCGGAGCGATTAGAAGAACATAAACGCTACTGCTCAAAACACACACCACTGAGAACTGACCTTGCAGAAGAAAAGGAAATTAAATTTAAAAACTATGAGCGAACTCAGCGTAGTCGTTTTACGATATACGCAGACTTTGAGTGTGCACTTGTACCACACGAAGCTGACCAACCTATCGAACCTACACCGACTATAGCACCGCCTGCTTGGGACCCAGCAGGTAATAGAATAGTAGGAGGGGGTCAGCAAAATGCAAATGCGCCTAATAATGTCAGGAATATCCATACACCGTACGCATATGCTTATTACATTCATGACGATCAGAGGGATGTCAACGATGGTGACGCAGATGATGACGACCCAGCCTGCACTACTTTCTCCAAGCTGCGACTGTACCGAGGTGAAGATGCCGCTAATCACTTCATCAACTCTGTACGGGATGACGTGCGGAAGATTGGTGACATCCTCTATGGACATAGGATACCAAATGATCCCCCACAGTTAACACCACAAGAGCAGGTGATATATCAGCAGTCCACAGTATGTCATATCTGCAAAAAAGAGTTTGGCCCTGCTGATGAAGACAATAAGATGAGGGATCATCAACATTCACCACCGTACAGGTTCCGAGGAGCGGCACATCGGTTTTGTAACCTCCGATACAAGGAACAAGAACAAGTGAACATGTACCTGCATAACCTATCCAACTATGATGCACACTTCATTGTCAGAGAGCTCGCAGTGGATAAAGGTGATATTGATGTGCTCGCCAACACCGAGGAAAAATACATTACCTTTTCGAAGCGATTCAAACATCCGGGAGCAGGTCGGAGGAAAAGCATCAAACTGCAGTTTGTCGATTCATACCGACTGATGTCAAAATCATTAGCAATATTGGCATCAATTCTTCCAGCTGATAAAATGAGCATAACAAGAGCTCGCTACCCGGATCAAGAAGAGTTTGACATGCTACGTAGGAAAG